TTTTTCTTGGAGAGAAGTGGCTTCTTTGCTGCCCTTCTTGTCACCAGGCCGTTATCCAAACGTCTTGGCCTCACTGTGCGTGCAGATGCTCTCACACCAACCTGCTGCCATTCCTGAGCAAGCTCTGCACTGGTGTTGACACGATTCCGTAGCTGACTCCTCAGGAGGAGACGGTTCTGGCACTTGCTGGACACTCTGGGACGTCCTGAAGACTTCTTCACTGCAGTCGAACCTCTCTCCTTGAAGTTCTTGATCCGGTAAATGGTTCTTTCAGGTGCAATATTCTTTGTAGCAATTTCCTTGCATGTGAGGCCATTTTGATGCAAAGCCATGATGGATGATTTGATTTAAAGCGATTAAAATAGAAATCTTTTCTAAGAATATACACTACAGTTCAAAAGTTTGGGGTCAGTCAATTTTTATTCTTTATTTTATTCAGCAAGGATGTGTTAAATTGTTAACAAGTGAAAATATTTATATTTTGAATAAATGCTGTTCTTTTTTACTTTTTTTATTCATCAAAGAATATATATATAATTTTATATCATTAATATATCATTATGTATTATGAAATTACAGCACAGCACATGAGTGAGAATAACGCGATATCCGCCTTTGATCTCGTAGGTATCTGCTCCACTTCGAGAGGTCAGAACTGTCCGTCTTGACTGCGCTTATTTCACTCCTCCCCTCACTGCAGTCGCCTACTCTTGCCTACATTTCAGGCGAGGCGAGGCGCATCTCAAACAAGCCTATTATTTAAAATGGGAATTTCACTGGATTTACAAAACCTTGGGAATTTTTGGCATAACATAAATACACAGCTGCATGAAACAGTGCAAGTAGTTTTGGGATATTTTATTACAAAAATCGTACATATTGTGCCTTTAACCACAGCTGTCGTCGTTTTTTTTGTCTGTCAGTGGCAGCAGGTATGCGATAAAATTTCAAATTGGAGCCTGTATTACATCGGCACCCATGCATATACACATGTATATATGTGTATATATATATATATATACATATTAGAATTTTGACATATTTGAATTTTAGATGTTGTTGCATCACCCTGACTTTTTTTTTTATTATTTATGCCCCGCAAAACATACAATGTCTTTAATTATGAAAGTATAACATATTCACATAGGTTGGGTTGGTTCAGTGTTGTTTTTTCGTGCTAGAACAATCAGTCTATTGTGACATCTCCATATCTACCTGACATAGCAGCTTTGAAAGGCCTCCAGGAATTAAGGACACCATGTTCACCTGATTTGCATGTGGGGTGGCGCTTCGCTGCATGAAGGAGAGCGCATGGATGCCAAAACATGCCCTTCAGCTTTACTGATGACTGTTATTCAAAGCAGGCAGCGGTGGCTTAAAGGAACAGACACACGGCAGCTTTGTTTTTGAAAGCGAGAGGGATGGTGAATTAGTGAAACTTCTGGCAATGTTTCAAACACCCCCACATACGTCCCGAAAGCATCGCTATCTGCCTCATTCACCCACTAAGACAGATGCCAAGTGAGCAATTATGAGCTGACAGTTAAACAACATAAGAATTACGGGCAAACAACTCACAGTTTAACATTACATAGAATGACCTTCTGCTCAGAGAGGCCACAAACTAGTGGACCATTACTTTCTAATCTCATTAAGAAACATTATTCGTCATTTAACTATATGTTATTCTTCTGAAAACTGTTTAAGTTCCAGGACCACAAAACCAATTTGAAGAAAAAGTGCACAGTTTCCTTATCAGTTGAGGTTTGGAGGAGAAATTAAAGGGGTCATATGATGCTATTTAAATTTTTCCTTTCTCTTTGGAGTGTTACAAGCTCTTGGTGCTTAAAGAAGATCTGTAAAGTTGCAAAGACTTAAGTCTCAAATCCAAAGAGATATTCTTTATAAAAGTTGAGTCAACCACGCCTACCTACGCCGGCCGCTCCTTCGTCAAATCCGCCGGCCGCGCCGTTCTCAAACCCACCCGCCTCCGCTCACTCAAGCCAGCCGCCGCTCACTCTAGGCCTCCGGCTTCCGCTCACTCAAGGCTGCGGTGTGTGACGCTGTTTCGTTGTGAAAGCGAAA